TCATGTTGGTCCGCATTGAGGCGTCTCACCTCTTGTAGCGTGTGGAGAAAGAGGCGCCACACTCCCACACCCCCCCCCAGAGATGGCCTGTCGTTGTCAAAACACATTGGTATTTGGCAAAAAAAAAAACTATGTGTTTTATTGGTGTTGAAGTAGAGCAAGAGACGAGTGCACCCCCTCCTAAAAAAAATCCTGGATCCGCATCTGTGTCCACCGTCAACAGAACCCACACATCTCCTTCGTAGGCTACCCATCGCGTAGCAACAGTGTGTACCCAGTTGGCCATTCAAGGGATCCTGCCGCCAGGTGAGCCTTCATATTCTCCAAAAGCGAAAACATAAATCTAAGTGACTTGCACGAAAAAAGGAGACTGCGTTGAAAGCCGCGCCTGTCACGTGATTGCGTCGAACGTTTGTCCATTAAATATTGGGGACACATCCAGTAAGGCTCCGATGGTTAATTCGGCTGCCTTTTCCGCCAGCTTTGAATTGTCAGGATTTTTCTGTTGAAATACAAGATAGCTTTCAGTGGTTACAGCATGGGATTCAACCCCATCTAACACGAAAGCTACTTTTGTAAACGAAGTCGTGACTGACAAGCCACGCAAGAAAGAAACCTCTGTTCGCAGGGTAACGTCCAGAATAAGCCTTGAATTAACATAGAACCCTTCTAAACTCTACGCAGCAGTGGGCATTAGGAAGTCACCGTTAGGTTTTCATGGTTTGAGTTCAAATACATGTGGTAATACTCTCTTAGGGCCGGTAATTCTACTATAAATTTTCACACAAGTTAGAAACGACAAAATCGAAGTTGTTAGACTATGTAATTCTTAAATATTCCTGTGAAGTTCGCTACGAAGAGGTAAAATGAATAATGTACTGTACCTTTTGATTATTGAGGCCTAGGCTGACAAATACACCAAAACAGATAACACCCTGTTCATGAACACGTGACTTCATTTCCTCTATAGAAAGCTGTCGAGTGGCAAAAAAGAAATGTTTCGCAAAACAAAGTCAAAAACTTCTTCAACTTTAGTTAACTGGAAAAAAGATGAGTTTATAAGTAAACAAACACACACAGGATTGGAAAGCCGATACCACCCAGCATTTTCGAACCCCACGGCAATTCCTATGAATTGTAGCTTGACAGAGATTCGTACAAGCGAGCACAGCATAAACGAGGATCCATATAGTTTGGGATGCATGCACAACATGGATGCTCCACTAAGCTACACGATGGTAAAGTAAGCGAGTCTGTGAATTGGCTAGAGTAAAATAATATTGGCAAGGAGCTCCTACAAATAATGAGGAATCTCTGTCGGCCTTGATAAGCTTTTGCCTTTTTCGGGTTGAACTGTAATTTGAAAATGCGTGAGAATAAAGAAATAGATATATAAATAAATAATACCCTAGATTTCTCGACTTATAACACAACTTTTGTGATCAGTTAAGCTAAACACGCCTCGTCCAGTAAGCAAATTTTAAATTACATATCGGGTTCTAATGACATCTCAACCAACC